TTGTCTTTTCAGATCCGTGAGAAGGTGACACCAGACGATGTTGTCGTCGTCGACAGAGTCGTTGGCGGCGCTGTAGAGATGTTGCAGATCTGGAGCTTCAGAGCGGGTTGAGGTACTGGCGGCGGAGCCACCCTTCAAGTTTTTCGAAACCCTAACTGGTTCATGTGTGTTCTTGTATACATATATCAGATTTCTTGTTTTGTGTATCAAATCTTGAACAGATGTATGTGTTTGGTGTTAGAAAATATCTGGATTTTGTATGTGTTGTTGTATGTTAAATTTCTAAATTTTGTCTCTGTATTCATCTGGAGAAGAGAGTGGTTTCATCAGGAGAGAGAGAGAGAGAGAGAGAGAGATGTATGGTGGCGGTTCCGGCATGTGGAAGTAGTGGTTGTTCACATTTTTCCGGCAGGTGATGGAGGGAGAGAGAGATGTTGACCGGTGGTGGTGTTGTTGACCGGAAAATCGAGGGTGGTGGTGGTGGTAACCGGTGGTGCTTCTAGGGGTTAACCGTGGCGGCGTTGCTGACCGGTGGTGATGGTTTTACTGGAGGGCGATGAAGAATGGGGAAGAAGGGGTCTAGTAGCAGGGAATAGAATAGAAAGGTGAGGGGTTGAGGGTTTAATTTTATTTTTTAATTTTTTTTAATCAGAAAACATTAAAGTAATTAAAAAAAATAATAAAAATAAAAAATGAAGGGCAAACTCGTCATTTAAAAAAAATTCAAAACAAATCGGACCAAACTCGCAACAAAATGAAAATTTTAACCTGTGGTGCTAGTCCAAACATTTTTGGACTAAAGTATCAATTTTGAGCAAACCACAGGAACCATTTGTGCAGTTTAGTTTTTAATTTAATATAAAACATAGTCTTGGAATATTACAACTTTCCTTCACTTAATATCCCCCGAAATTACCATTTTCGCCATCATCATTTTTAGTTTTTACCAACCAACACACCATTTTATTTATTTACTTTTGCACGTACGTTATTCATTAATCAATTTTTTTATTATCTTTATAATAACTATAGTAGTATCAATTTTTTTGAATAAAAACTATATAACACGGTGAAGTATATATATTTGATGGCATTCAAGTTGCTTTATCTATTCAACTAATTTTATATTTTATTTGAACTTTTAAATTTATTTTTGCCCAAATCAACCTTTTATTAAATAATATTGTAAGAGCATCTTTGATACAAACATTTTATAAAACTTTTTATCTTTTGAATAAATTATTTAAATCATTTAAAGAACTATGACCTCATAACAAAAAAACTTTTTAAGTAAAATCCTTTTATCCTATATATTTATTCTGGTAAAAAGGTTTTATACAAATATATATACAACTCGGGTTAAAGCTTTTTAAAGTTGTTAGTATAAAATCTAGATTACAAAAACAATAAGTCTTTATAAAGATTTATGTATTGGAGATGCTTTAAGAGAAATTGTATATGCTCTTATATTTTGTTTCTATCCATCTTCCTATTCATATTAAATAATGACATGTGAAATTGACTAATTATCATATATATATATATATATATATATATATATATATAGATATATATATATATATATATCTCACTCACTCACTCTCTCTCTCTCTCTCTCTCTATCTATATATATATATATATATATATATATATATATATATATATATATAGTAGGTGTAAGACCCGTGTACTACACGGGTTGATTAAAAAAAGTTAAACATCAAATGTTTAAGTATTAAACATTTTTTAATGTAAAATTTTAAAATAAATACAAACGAAATGATGAATAACTAATTACATCAATCTATACCAATAAAAAAACAATTGACATATTTAAATAATTATGCTGAATATCAGGATGTAAACATTAAATATCTTTTTAAAGTAAACTTTTAAAAAAATGCAAACGAAAAGATGAATACATATCTAATTCAATCTATACTAATCTTATAAAAAAACTATTAAAACCATACTTATTTATTTAAGCAATCGTAAACAACACATACACATATACAGAAAGTGTTGTGCATGCCTGTTTATTTATGGTTGTGTGTATACAATGATGTAAAACAAAACTCATGTGACATGGAAATGCTAATACAAAACACATACAAATATCATATTCATGGATGTAACATACTTTTAAAGAACGATGCTTTGATATGTAAAATTAAACAAAATTAAATTACGAAACCATCAAATTTACATATGAAAAAATATTAATGTCAGAATCTCCTTTGTAACTCCCTAAATGGAACTCTATCTCCCAAATGGGCTATTATGTGTGAACTTATATGAACCACCAAATTTATATATGAAAAATATTTATTTTAATGTAATAAGATGATCCACAATAAACTATGTATATATGTAACTCTCCCATATGAAACAGTTTGATAGCACTTCAAAGATCAAATGTACAACCACCAAAATCAAAACAGCCAAGTAAAAGAAAACATAAAAGAACCTCAGAAAGCCAATTAATCACCATAATCACATTCATAATATCCATCCCTAGACCATATATGTTGACCACTCTCTTTACAAAATTTCATTATGGCGTATATGTATAACTGTCAAAACAATGAAATATTTGTAAGAAATAAAGAAACAAAAGCTTTTAAAGCCTTCTACTCCAATTATTGTTATGTATCAAGAGATAAATTAGAACCGAAAGTTTTCAAATCTAAAAATCATCAAGTGAGTGTGCGCATGTGTTCTGTGACAATCTAGAACCTCGTATGCCTCTGTTGTTTTGGATGATAGGCTAAGATTTGCAATTTTGGAATCATAAAAAAGGGATCAGACAACACCATGATCACAACGTCATATGGGCTAACACTTTTAAGCTCCAGACAAATTTGTAGCAGAAACGGAGAGGTAAGTGATAATCGGAAAGATATTTTAGTCCACTACATGGATTTGGATATTTAAATTTTGAAATAGTATTAGTATTATTCACAGGTGATTTGGTTTCCAATACTGAGGGAGATAAAAGGGGATTGTGTGCCGAAAGGAAATGGAAAGCAGAGAAAAATTAGGAAAAAAACTATAAATTGAATCCATTCATTTATATAGTATTAAATATAACTAGTATTATAGTTGTCATTTTATTAAAATTGAAAAACACAAATAAATGACAAGTGGAAAATAGTTAGTTCAAAATTATAAGAAATTGACATGTGGCAAATTAAAGGAGAAGAGAACATGCGGCAAAAAACCTTAATTTATTAGGTAGAATATATATATATATATATATATATATATTATATATTATATATATATATATATATATATATAATCTATATATATATTGGTTTTGACACTTGCCTACATAGTGAATAAGAAGATAAGTAAGAATAAAAGCTAGAAGGATATTTGATTTCTTATCTTCTAATGCTTTTAAGCCAAGAGGCTTTGCAATTAACAATTAGTGACTAATGTATTATCTTTTTGAAGTTGTAAGACCGGAGGGTATGGGCGAGGAGTTTCCCTCACTTTTTGTGGACCACACCACTATTTCTCTCACTTTCCTTTCCCTCACCTAAACCCAATGAATTTGTGGGAAGCTTCCATCACTATTTTTTTTTTAAATAAAATTAATTCTTTTTTATGATTCATAATTTTTAAATTAATAATAAACATAAAATTTAATTAAAAATAAAAAGCATTTCATTAATTAAAATAAAAATTACATTAAACCTAATATTTAAATAAGTAGAAAATTAAAAATAAACGCAAACAAAAAATCAAACAAACCACAACATAGAATCCTAATTTAAAAAAAAAAACAAAATACGTCACTCGGAATCATCGTTCTCGTCATCGACCTCATCGTCTTCATCATTCTCCCGAACGTCACTCTCGTCATCGGAATCTTTGCTCTCGACGAACATATCAGAATCCTCGTCTGATTCGTCAAACAAATCATCGTGAGAAAACTCTATCGGTGGCTGAATATGAGCCCTATAAATATGCTCCACCAAATCAGCACGAAGGGCGTGATGAACGTCGCGATTGTGTACTTCTCTTCTATTCACCCTATACTCTTGTATACCAACGGCTACTCCTTCGACATTTGGCAAAACTTCATTTTCGTTGTACCGACATATCGCTCTTCCTTCGTCTTCAAGAATCATATTATGCAATATGATACATGCATACATTACGTGCTGTAACCTTTTCACTTCATATGACCTTGCCCCGACTGCTAGTACTTGCCAACGTCTCTTAAGTACACCAAATGCTTGCTCCACATCCTTCCTAGCTGACTCTTGCGCCTCTTTAAACTTTTTCCTTTTCGGGTCGTTAGGACATGTAAACGATTTCACAAAAACAGACAAGGGAGGATATATACCGTCAGTAAGATAGTATACACGCTTATATGCTACCCCATCTGCTTGAAAAGGTACATCGTGCGAATTTCCAAGGTAGATATCGTTGAATACCGGCGACTGGTCTAGCACATTGATGTCATTGTTTGCACCAGCTGGACCAAAGAATGCATGCCATATCCAAAGATCATTTGATGCGATAGCCTCTAGAACGATCGTCGGCTCTTTGTGGTCGCCTCTCATGTACTGATCACGCCATGCGTTGGGGCATAATGACCAACCCCAATGTATGCAATCGATACTACCAAGCATTCCAGGGAATCGATGCTTGCCTTCATGCACCGTGTACAATTGGTGGACATCGTTCATAGTTGGTTTGCGCAAATATCGTTGCCCATAAATCAAACAGATCGCTTTGCAGAACTTGTACACACACTCCCGCACGGTACGCTCTGACATCCTAAAATACCGTCTCATTTGTCTGCGCCCATGTCGTATGCTAACTGACGAATTGCAGTCGTGCATTTTTGAATTGGAGAGAAACCTTTTATCCGTCTCGGATCCATTTTCCATTGGAAATATGGAAAGCGGCCTTCCAAATCGCCAACAATACGTAAGAATAATTCCTTCCTCATCCGGAACCGACGTCGAAACTTTATAGCCTAGATGGCGTCGTCTGCAAAGTAATCTTCTATAAGACGATCGTGTCCGGCTTCGCGATTTCTACGCAACCGCGGTTTTTCTTGGTTTTGATCGTGCACATGATGTTTTGCCTAATCGGTTTTGAAAGTATGCAACCGTTTTCACCATGACGGAACCGATAAACTTAGCCTCCTCTAGAGCCGTCGAATCAGATGATGAAGATGATGACATTTTGATTAATATTTTTGGAAAGAATTATAAGGTATGGGTTAAAAAATTGGTTGGATGTTGTGTGGTATTTATAGTTTAAATAAAAGGAAATATATATATATATATAGATATATATAATATATCGATATATATATATATATAATATATATATCTATATATATATATTATAGGAGAGGAGAGCTAGGTTCATTTGTTTTTAAAGTAATTATTGTGTTTATTGTATGCATATGTGGGCCAATCAATTTTAAAATAAAATAAATAATTAATTAATAAGTAAGGGTAAATAGCTAATTTGATAATTAGTTTCCACAAATAATATCCTATAATTATGGTAATTTGATATAATCACGTATATTTATAGATGATAATTTTAGGGTTTCAATTTTCCCAATTGACTTCTACCCAGAGCCAAGATCAAAATCCCGATTTCTCGATTGGTCACTCCAATTCGTGACCAACACCTCAGATTGGTCACAACAATTGACACAAGAAACTGAACCAGTACATGAAGAAGATGCAACTAACGAAGAAGAAGAAGAGGAAGCAGAATCATATTCAGAACCACCTGAAGAGCAAAGCTTTTTGTCGGTAACTTACCCTACGATTTTGACAGCGAGAAATTGGCTAATCTCTTCAATTCTGCCGGAGTAGTAGATATCGCCGAGGTATTAATCGATTGACTTTTCAGTAATTTCTTAATTAATTTCGTATGTTGCATCGTGTGTTTACAATGGCCGATTTGATGTCTGGTTTTAGGTTATATACAACAGGGATACAGAACAAAGTAGAGGATTTGGGTTTGTGACAATGAGCACAGTAGAAGAAGCTGAGAAAGTTGTGGATAAGTTTAATGGCTATGTAAACTTAATCTTCTTCTCCATCTATCCATCTTAATTACTACATATTCACATTAATCTGTAATATTGTTATGAACAAAAACAGGATTTGAGTGGAAGGGCTCTTACTGTAAATAAGGCTGCACCAAGAGGTTCACAACCAGAAAAACGAGTGGTGGGGACTTCTTTCAAGATCTACGTGGGTAACCTAGCATGACAGGTGGATAGTGAACGTCTGGAGCAGGCGTTTAATGAACATGGGAAAGTGGTCGATGCAAGGGTGATTTATGATCGTGAAAGTGGAAAATCACGGTGGGTTTTTTGTCAGCTTCGTGACATTCGTCTCTGTTACTGTTTTATTTAGTATTACTTCAAACTTATATTTTCCACATTTCAGATCAGTATCTACATGATAATCTGTAAGATAACATGAATGTTTTTTTCATGAATCCATTAAGATTAATTCATTTCTCATAAGTTGAAAGCTTTACCATACATACAGTTGAAGTTTCCAAGATTTTGATTTTTGTTCAAGTTCTTGTTTTCATACATTGCAACTGCAACAAGACTACAACCCTTCATTCATCTCTAGTTTCTGAACTCTTGGTAACTTGAATTTGTTCTTCATTCATCTCTAGTTTCGTTAATTTGTTTCATCTTTTTGATTTAACACTTCATTTATGTGGACAGTGCAGGATCTTGACAAGGTTGAATTCTGAAAAGGTATCAAGTTTGTTTTTGTAGATGATTCAATGGTTGATATTGGTGAGATTCCAATTCTATTGGAATGGAATCACGAATTTCAATTCTGTTGGAATGGAATCACGAATTCTAATTCTGTTGGAATCATAGAAATTGATGCTTGAAGAACGGACCAAAAAATTGAAACGGACCACATTATTCTTTTAGAATGTATTAGGCGTTGTTAGATTTTGATGTAATTTTTAACAATTGTTACCCGTATTCTATAAGAAATAAGGTATTTTTTGTTTTTATTCTTCAATGATTGTTCAAAGATTGTTATTCTACAAGAAATTTTTAAATTCATGATCAAGAAATAGGTTCAAGAATATTTTTATTATTTATGGTTCAAGAATATTTTTATTTTTGAATATACTCATAAACATATTCTATCACAATGTCCGAATTAAAAAAATTATAATATGTAAAATCGGATTTTTAAAATTAACAGAATCTATGATCCTTTAAAAAATGCAATTTTCCTTTATTAAATCTATATTAATTGACTAATTACCCTTGTAATTAATTAAGATGATATTTTCAATTATATTTAATCAATAATATATATTAATCACTTTCTTAAAATAAATAAATTTGATTGGGCTCACATTTTGCATACAATAATACAATATTACTTTGAATAGAATAACCTAGGCCTATATATATATATTATATTATTATATATAGATATATATATATATATATATATATATATATATCTATATATTAACGGCTATATAGCTGTTTGAATCAAAAACAAAAAAAAAAGGACGAATCAAATGAGGAGTGAGAACGCAGCATCCCCACCCCCCACCCCCCTTCCCGCGTTCGTTTCCCGCACACATGGTGCGGTGTTCCCGCATGCGGGAATCGTCCACACCCCTCCCCGCATGCCATACCGTCCGGTCTAACATATATTTTTAATTAGTATCAAAGATGTTTCATATTTTTTATGAATGACAAAATATTTTTATTAAACCATATTTTCCCAAACGTACGAATCTGGCCACAAGAGGTGTTCAAGCTGTGTTCACCCTTTTATATATATATATATATATATATATATATATATATATATAGATATATATATATATATATATATCGAAAGAAAAGTAACGATGATATGCTCATACTTTAACTTTGATGTCAAAACACAAACTTTTCTGATTGCTTTATTTCAATTTTTTATAGTTGCTTGTTGTATTCAAATCATTTTGTCTAGCTCCATAATTTTGTTCAGCTCCAATAATTCTGAAACAACAAACCTTTAGTCCATCTCATATCTTGTTTGCAGGCTTCTTATTGACATATTTTTCTTTTCTCTGAAATATATAGATATAGCTATATATATATATATAGATATATATATATATATATATATATATAAAAGGCCGGCTCTATTCTTTGCAAAACTAAGCAAGGGCTTAGGGCCCCCAATTTTAAAACTTATTCTATTAATTATATATGTATTTATACGTATTTTTTGGGTTACAAATACAAGTTTGAGCTTGGCCTGGTTGTAAAAGCATTGTTTTAGCAAACCAAGGGTCTTAGGTTTGAATCTATTTGCTTACAGGAAGGGCCTTGATTTTTTTGTTTGTTTAGAGCCCCAAATTGGTTGAGTTGCCCCTATATATATAACTTTTAAATAATAATAAGTTCAAGTTTAGATTAAAAAAATGAAAGACATAATAAATACAGGGGCGGCTCAACCAATTTATATATATATATATATATATATATATATATATAAATTGGTTGAGCCGCCCCTGTATTTATATATGTCTTTCATTTTTTTAATCTAAACTTGAACTTATTATTATTTAAAAGTTGTGTATACACTTCTTGCTGATAGAGAATCCGGCAAAAGAATACTGATTGATAATCACAATGATCAATTCCCAATCTTTTAATAAGAAGCTAAATTTAGAACCACCAATTGAAATACATCTATCGTTGAAGCTCTAGAAGTCGAACCCACCACCAAACCTTAGTTATGATTTGTTTTTGTTTTGTCTATTAGCATTTTTTCTTTTTCTCCAAAACATCGTATTTAAGATTCGGAACACTTAAACGGTCTTAATCATTTTTGTTATTTAAAGAAAGCTTTAGAGATTGAATATTTCCCTCTTGCTTAAAGCAACACCATTGATTAATTTTAGGCAACACCATTGATTAATTTTAGGCTATTGGTCGTGTTTGTGGTTTATCCAAAATTATAGATATGTTTTTGAAAATTGTTTTTTATTTAAACTGTTTTACTGATTCAATTTTGATCCAATTTTCTATTTGGATGAATTGAAAAAAAAAATCCAAATATCAAAGATTTTTTTATATTATTAATCATATGTTAATAACATATAATTGGTTGTGTTTATTATAACACTAGGTGTAAGACCCATGTATTACATGAGTTTATTAAAAAATATATATATATATATATAAAGGTCTAAATATTTAAGAACTTTGGATTTATAAAAAAATAAGAAAATTAATGAATTATTAAAATTGATATTTTTTATCTTTTAAATTTAAATAAATAAACAAAATAAACTAATGAGCTTTAATTTGGAAATTTTGAAATAAGAAAGTAAGTCTATTAATGAAATTGATATTCATTTATTACTACATTTATTGTAATTATTACATTAAAATATCATTTGTAATTTATTAAAATAGAAAAACCCATAAAATGACATGTGGAAAGAATTAATTCAAAATAACCACAAAATGACATTTGGCAAATTGAATGAGAGTGTGACATGTGGCAAAAAAAACTTTCAGTTATTAGAGTAAATTTTATTTATACGAATGCACAAATAATAAATTAGGTAATTTTATGTTGACATTCTTTTATAACGAATAGCCAATCAAATTATAGTTCTAACATCTAGACTTTTTACAAAAATATTTTAAAGACATGTATCTACACCTGTCAAAAATTGACACGACACAACAGCCCGATACAAAATAAAGGAGTTTAGGTAAAAGATATCAACACGTTTAAGTAATGAGTTGACATGATACGGCATGAAATTTAAACAGATAAAATTACGGACAACACTTTCAACTCGAAGATGAAACAATTATATTATTGACATTAACTATGTAATAATAGTTCTTACACTAAGCGTATATATAAAATTGTAATGACTTTGAACGATATTATAACATACATATTTTTTAGAATCATATCATTCAGAGACCTCTACATACGACGTGGGTGGTTATTTTTTTTTGTTTTTTAATTAGAAAAGTATTAAATTAAATAAAATTTTGGAAAAGAAATTAATAAGGACAAACTAGTCATTTTTAAGTTCTTTTAATTTTCAGGGCCAATACTACCATTAAAATTCTATTTTGGACCATTAGTGATAGTTCAAAACTTTTTGAACCAAGAGTAACAATTTTTTGATAACCATAATGACTAATTATGTCGTTTACTTTAAATAATTTTTTTTAAATAATAATAATAATAATAACAATAATAATAATAAATATAAATATAAATGAATATATAAATAAAATAAAATAATCAAATTAATAATAATTATAAAATATCTAAAAATTTATTAATATAAAACTTCAATGTAATTAAACCAAAAGTTGTATGGTATATAAGGTAGGGTTAAAATGATAAATTTGACTAAAACCCAGGATTTCATCAAAGTTTGACTTGATTAACTCTAGAAAGGACTACTATGTTAATATCCATACCGAGGGAGAGCGGTTAGAGATAAGACATTATGATAAATAAGTTAGTTGGAGATTAAAAGTGTGTAAATATTGGAAATTTAATAAAAATATATGTATTTTTATTAAATTTTGGACACACAAATATATATATATATATATATATATATATATATATATATATATATATATATATATATATAGCCCTTAGAGTGTTATGCTCTCCTCCGTGAGAGCTTCGAAACGATATGTGTTGTGCTCAAAACGGAGAATATGTGAATGAAATTTCGTTGCTCAAAGATGAGTATTTGGGAATAAAGTTAGCAAATAAAGTGGGTGTGGTAATGTGTCCCACATAGGAAAAATGAGCAAACTATTAGTGGGTTTATGTAACGTCCCTAAAAACATAGAGTAAAATTTTAATTTTAAAATATATCAAAACATTCAAATACCATTTCCCAAAAGATTATCAGAGTAATAAGTTATATGTTTCAAAACTTCAGAGTGAAAATCATAAAAGAAGATAGAGCGAAATATCCAGCGGATGCGACGCAATCAAGTCTGACTCTTTTCCTTGCTACAAGAAGTACTTGAGACATTTAAAACTTAAAACTGTAAGCACAAAGCTTAGTAAGTTCCCCAAGATACCACATACATACAAGCAATAGCCTATTTCTACAAGCGGGCCCCACCCAACGGTCTATTTCAACTAATGGCCTATTTCAGCCAACGGGTATGTTTCAACCCCGGGTCCATACCAACCCAACGACGTATTTCAGGCATGTGAATGTTATGATCCAACAATAGTCTTATAGTCACTTATGTTGCTACAGCCCAACTACACTCTTTCCTTCCATGACACCTAGTGTCCTACATAGTATAGTGAAAAGACTCACCTAAACTACTCAATGGAAACTCGACAGCAACCTCAGCAACATAAGAGCTAACCCAAGCTACCTAAAGCCAAATTGAGACAAGTCCTTAGTAAAAAACTCAATTCTAACAAAGTTTGACCAAAAATCAAATTGGTCAAAAGTCACAAAGTCAAATCCTAGTCAACAGCCGCCATACGTCCTGCAAGAAGCGCATCACGCCCACTATAGGACAAAACAGTCGAGCTCCAAGCTAAATCAGGCGCGCACTGAAAAAACACTAACGCGCACTACGATTTGTCTCAATCCAAAGGGTAAAATGACTTATTACATTAAACCAATTCCCCAAATTCCCATATATGATTCTTAATAATGTCCTAATTGATAAAGTTTCCAACCTTACCCATCAAAAG